GCGACACCCGGCTGTCCGTGAAGGGCCGAGTATATGCTACAGCAAGTAGGCCGGTGTTGCTATACGGTACGGAGAGTTGGCCATTACGGGAACAGAATAAAAACAGACTGTTGGTGTTCGAACATCGCTGTCTACACAGCACTGTACAAGTTTCGTGAGGAAACCGGACGAGCGACGTCAAGACTGCACCTTGACGTGGTGTGATGGCTCGTGCACCTCTATGATCCAGCGAGCTACACAGGATGGCTTTTGTCAAACCAGATCTTATCATGGCTGGAAGGTCAATGGGTAGAGATCAGACGAAGTTCAGTCTCCTGGTCCTTCAGGTTCGGGGTTCGATTGGAATTTGTGTTACAGTTGGTAAAAAAATGGTGCTGAAGTACAGTTCATGCAACTTCCTCCTAATATCCCGGATCTCAACGTGATTGAAAAGCTGTTTTCTGTCTTGAAGAGATAGGTCAATGCGCTACCTATGCATTGGACCTTGGAGACAAAAGTGCGATACGTAATGGAGCGCAACATAGAAAATGACTTCATAACAAAGTTGGTGGGTTTGACGCCGAAGAGACTCAAAAAAGTCCTAAAGAACAAAGACAGACCAATCGACTATTAGTGTACACAGACTTTACATCTTGCTTATTATCAACGTTAATTTGTTGTTGACAAAAACTGTTCCATTCTCTTTAGTTACCTCTTAACTCATCATGGTCTAGATCAACCACTACTGACAAAATGGGAGTATCCGCTACATTTTGAACCNACCATTCCATCTGCTGAGTATAAACGATTCAGGAAAATCACGGATATAAAGACTCGCCAAGACTTATTTATTATTAGTTTTGAAAAAAAATTACTTCAGTATAAATGATGTTGCCTATACGAACCGACAAGTGTTTCATAGGAACCTGTTGCTTCAGTTTCGATTAGACCTGTAACTGATCCAGATAAATGGGCCTTCACTTTGCTTCACCCGCTGCCTTGCGGTTAGGTTCTTGTCAGAAGTAAAAGCTTTGGACGAGAAACTTAATCGTTCTCCTGCTTAGTGGCTGGACACCCTAGCAGTACCCGTCCACCAAACCCCAATGCATACACAAAATAAAAATAATTCCATACTGCTGATTGGTCTTCGCGCAGGATAATCAGGACCGCGCGGCCCATTGCATCGAGCGGGCTGGGTAGTGATAAGTGGACTCCTGCTCAAATTTCCCAAACTTTGTTTAATTCTTTATCTTCAGCATCCAGCCCTCTCCATTTGCCCCGCCTTCTCTCTCTAATAGTCCCTTAGGTAGCTTGAATGTCGCTCACCAAAGGCATTGGATATCTCAGGAGTCAGTAGCCCTGAAGGAGAAAAAATAAGTTCCAACATAGCAGGATCAAAATAGTTAGGTGGCATCTACAACGTCAGCTTACGAAGAGCCTCAAAAAGGACCATGAGAACTGGTGGGCAACAATAGCTAGTGCAATGGAAGTAGCAGCTGCATCAGGGAATAGTCAAAGACTGTTCCGACTGATACGCAATACGGGAGGTTGGCGAACTGCAGTTGGGGAAACAGTTTGTGATAAGATGGGACAAGCTATTCAAAATAGGAATGGGCGGTGGTGACCAAGTGGTTAGGTCACCAACTTGTGACCTGGGAGACCCGGGTTCGAACCGATCCACCGCCGCCCGTTTTCCCTATTTCTGTAATTTCCCAGGCAGCCTTTGTACGGCCGCGACCCCCTTCCTGAAAGTTGACTATACATTTGTATATTCAATAAGTAAAAAAAGGAAACAAAAGGCATTACACAACGACTTGATCGGTGGGCAGAATACTTCAGCGAACAGTTCAGCTGGCCTGCCGCTAAGCAGGTTACCTCAATTGCAACTAAAGCCCCTTGGGTAGTGTCGTGCGATCCTCCAACGGAAGCAGAAGTTCGGTCTTGCATTCAGGCTCTGAAACGAGGAAAGGTAGCAGGACCAGATGAGCTTCCTCCCGCTCTCTTCAAGATGGGAGTCGATAACCCCGTAAGCTGTACTATTACCTTACTGCGCAACATTTGAACGCAAGAGCGGATTCCTTCATATTGGGGCGAATCACTGATCGTTCCCATTTTCAAGAAAGTATCTCGCAAAGATTTCGAAAAACACCGCGGGATCAGTTTGATTCCAACCGTCACCAAAGTACTAGACTCGGTCATACTTCGATGTCTGACTCCTTTAAGAGAGATTAACATCCGTGAACAACAAGCCGGATTCCGGCCTGGTCGTGGATGTATTGATCAATTTTTTACATTACGCCAGGTCCTTGAGCTGCGTCCCACCCACCGCCGACCAACGATCGCAGTGTTCCTTGACATGGAAGCAGCCTTCGACTCAGTTGACCGCAAAGCTCTGATGGGCTGCCTTCTTCGAAAAGGAATGCCCCAGAAGTACGTTAACCTACTGAGGTCATTGTACTCACTCCGATTGTGTAAGGGTCCATGATGAACTAAGTAGGCCATTCGTCACCAGCAGCGACGTTCAAGGATGTCCCCTCGCCGTTCCTGTTCGATTTCGTCGTAGACGAAATACTCAGTGGTCTCCAAAACGTAGTTATTAAATGGGCTGCTGGAGAAAAGCCGTGCGATTTAAAATACGCCGATGACGTCGTCTGTATGTTCGAATGTATGGAGGACGCGCAAAGCACACTTGATAGAATGACAAGTGCAGTTGCCACATTCGGTATATGCTTTGCACCTTCAAAGTACAAAGTGATGCTGCAGGACTACGTTTCGCCTACTTCCGCTCTGACACTAAATGGTCAGGAATTAGTTACGATGGATTACCTTTCCTACTTAGGTAATTGCGTGACCAATGAGGGTAGCGCAGCAAAGGAGATAACCGCCCGCATTTCAAAGCCTCGAGCAGCATATGCAGAACCGAAACACCTTTGGCGTATATACGACGTTTCACTGAAGTCAAAACGTCGTATATATTGCGCTATCGTTCGTTCAGTTTTGCTTTATGATTGTGAGACCCTGAATTTTCGAGTAGAAAATATCCGTCGACTGGAGGATTTGAGTATCGGTGTTTACGCAGTTTAGCCCATGTAGGAAAAAGCGAAAGGGTTAGTAACGTGGAGGTGAGCCATCAGGTGTTTGGGAGTATCGGGTATAAACCTGCCAGCACACCGAATTCAAATTAGTAGACTTTGTTGGCTAGGGCACATATTGCGTTTGTCCAGCTGTTGTCTGCCGCACCGCGCTTTATTCGCTGTAGACGCAGCGGGCTGGAGGAAACCGCGTGGAGGTCAACAGATGACGTGGAGACGAGGCATGAAATGCACAGAGCCATTAGGTAGAGCAGGTGTCTCTAGCCTTCCAGGTTAGGGTCCGAAAGACTCCAAAACCGGTTGGTTGGATACATTGAAGTATATGGCAGCGAACCGACAGCAGTGGCGTTCTTGTTGTAATTTCTTATCAGGAGTTCGATTGTGCACTCTGTATTGATCATAGAAGTTCACCTTCCCCCTCCCTCAAAATAGTTCCACCTTAAATTTTACCACTAACCTTGTGTGCATTGCGAGTTTGGTTGCGATCAGTGAAGTTCGCTTCAATGTATTTCGCTGTACGATGATGATTTGGCCGACGTCAGGCGCAGAGTTTTAGGTAATCGTGATTGTTCACAGGACCAAGTGGTCGACCTCCATAGATTACGCTGGTTGGGACGTACTGCGCACGTCACCAGATAGGTTTCCACGGTAAGCGATGTTTGCCGAGGCAGGTGGGGGTGGAAAAAGGTCACGGACGGTCAAACGAAGACCTGGTATAAGAGTATGAAAACCCTGACCGGAACACAGGGTCACATGTGTCCCGTTACGCTCCCTGGATGGGGACCCCGAGATCATAAGGGTAACCGGTCGTTAGAGATTCTGAGTGATATTTCTGTGTCGCAAACAGTAGCGTTCTTGCATCTACTCAATATTCTTGCAACCCGTCTCTATGAATTCTCTATCTTCCTCTCGAATTCGCTCTCAAGATTCCAATCTTCCAATCTGTTCTTTTATCCAAATGAGCAGCCAAAATACAGCAACCCAAACTGATACACGAAAGTGCATGGGTTGTAAAAGCTGAAACTGACATGTCGATCATTCGTCCAGCGTGTACGTTCCCGTCTGCATTGTATGCATTCCTCTACCTACCTCTGAACAACGACATTGTGCAAAAATTCTCGGACACCAATGGATTATGCTCAACCGATACAGGCATCATTGCTGCCCAGATTCACATGCATTTAGCGCGCTTCTTGCAGATTACATTCCTTTTCTCTATCATCACTAAGTAAGCACCAACCCAATTTCTACCCTTTTAGTACCGCATAATCGAAATGATCATTTAGATCAAACATGATAAACAGAATAAGATATCTACTAAACCAATGCCTTTTTCAATACTGCAAAAATGGTTGTCAAAATATACCGCACATGATAAGACAGTTGCGTAATCTTATAGGAAATATTGTGCGCGAACATGGAAATTTTTTGAAAATGGAAGTTCTCTTCAGGTCTCTTCAAAGAGTTCTGAAGCAGAATAGAGATTCAGTACAGTTCATAGTAAACATTCGGTTAATGAAATGGGGGAAGGTTTCATGCGCATAGTGCAGGATACTCGGGTACCTTGCTTGGAAACACGGGAAACTTGAGTTGTTAAAAGTATAGTATAGTATGTACAATGTACAATACTGGTCTTTTCTCAGCACCAGCGCAATGAACTGAACGAACCCACTGCTGTTTACTGCTCAATTATGCATGCTAATCGTGACACAAACCTATCGTCACTCACGGACTCACTACATTCCACAGGCTTTGAAGAGAGAAAGAAGCAGTATTTCAGATGAAAGATGTTGTACACACACAGACATATAATCTGTGAAAAATACTCTGACCAAGTCACATCTGATGAACGACGGCAAACAGCAACGGATATTTTTGCTTCAGACAAGAAATGCAGTGGGTGACTGTTGTTGTTGAATGAACATCATTTCAATCAGAAGTCTTTTCATCGAATATACTGTACAAAGTGCTAAGCAGTGCTCGATCCGTGTCCGGATCACCGATAAGTTTCATTCCCAATGCATCACACGTGAAAGATGGTAACCGGAGAACCTCGTCTGGGATCGATTTATGAGTCCCGGTGGTTCCGGAAGCCGATTCATTACCACACTGTTGATGATTGTTGGATGAAACAGCGTCTGAACTCTGAGCAGTTTCACTATCCGGTCGAAGATAGGCATACTTATCTTTGGCTCGTTTCGGTCTGGACAAGAGGCGCTTGTCCACGGGTAGAGCGGATCGTCCCGAAGCGAGGTCGAAATCCCACTCGCGCAGTGTCTTGTGTACATCCAAGTTACCTGGAACACTCACGTATCGGACACGTTTTCCAAATATGGTGATCTCCTGTAATGCACATAAGGAGGTATGCGAAACAACTGACAACGCGCGATTTCTGTACGGGGCTAAGACATGCAAATGTGCGCACAAAATGTTCTACTGATCATACAGACTCACATAAGCGTGTTTTGCTAATGATTTGCACCAAAAGAAATATCATAGAAAATAAACGGATCACAAGAATGCAATTTTAGAAACCATTTGCAACCGATTTTAAAATGTGCAAAACAATCTGTACGAACACTTCACTTGTCTCGATGATTTTTGGGTGTTTATGGGTGAATCGCTCCCACTTCAGGGTGGATGAATCGGAGACCAATTTGGAGAGTATGGCACAAATGAGGGGGCTTTCGTATAAGCACCGGTGCTCAGTAGTCGTTGCACAGCCAAGCTGGAATAGAAAGTACAGACAAACATGTCGATCTACATGCAGCAGGCTCTGAGCACTTCATGTGTTTCGGTAGGTACGTATGATTTATATAGTCTGTAGAAGAGAAACTTTGGAACGACATATGAATGAGCGAAAAATTCCGATGATACATCGGAACCGAATTAACGAGTTTTTGCTACCCAGGTCCGTAGTAAACCCCTCCTAATCGAAAGTGGTGAACTTTAAAGTGAGCCTCCAATAGTGGTGAAACGCATACGGTCAGAAAAGCTTTAGGAAAAATAGGACCAAACTGGCTCATGCGAGTGACGAGAATCGCGTTGCATTTCCGGGTTCCAAGGTCTAAAACGGTCATTACTGATGATAGTTCACCAAATCACACTGTAATGTGTGCAAAACCGAAACGGGGTCATGATCACCTGTTTACCCCGAGGGGGCAAGGACAAGTTAGCTGGTCGGTCGGTCGATAACGCGAGACTGCATGTGCGCGTGACGCGCAAACCGAACTACAGAGACAAGGTTAATCACATGCGCACACACATACCTCCAGTGTGATCGGTTCGATTCGATCCTTCGATGTGTTGGCCGGTGTGACCAGAACGCCTCCGGTTAGGNCGAAGATAGGCATACTTATCTTTGGCTCGTTTCGGTCTGGACAAGAGGCGTTTGTCCACCGGTAGAGCGGATCGTCCCGAAGAGAGGTCGAAATCCCACTCGCGCGGTGTCTTGTGTACATCCAAGTCACCTGGAACACTCACGTATCGGGCACGTTTTCCAAATATGGTGATCTCCTCCAGTGTGATCGGTTCGATTCGATCCTTCGATGTGTTGGCCGGTGTGACCAGAACGCCTCCGGTTAGGACGAGATTTAGCATACCATCGCACGATTCTAACCGCCCTGTGACTTGGCTGTCATCTAACAGTGTGACACGAACGACCTGGCCGACTAACGCGGCCGGAAACAATGCGAGCAGGGACGAGCGAAGACGGTCTTTGGCACGCCAATTCTCACATGCCGCGCGATTATCCAAGGTCGCCTGATGAGAAATGAAACAAAGAACTAATCAAATGAACATATTTGAATTAAAAACGCGACCAAGTGGTCGGCACAAAACATTTATATTATCATAATTTCACGCACGCTTGAGTTCAAACTGTGTACCAAACAAATCACGGTATACTTATCTTTATGAAAAGAAAAAAGTCCATGATTTGCTCGAGGACATGACACTTAAATTTGCTTCGGTGAATTCTATCAGAGAGTTCACAAACTGAACATTCGGCTAGCGAAAGCCTGACCCAAAAGGCAACAGGGCGATGTGTGAAAACCGCGTTCCTTTGGGGGTCGGTGTCCAGTGCATTGGATTATACGCCCGTTGGACGGGGTCAAAGGTCCAAGCTGCCCAATCGAGCTGGTGACCATTATCACAACCAGAGAGATGTGTGTGGTTTGTACGCCTGTTCTTGGCTGGTTTCGAATCTGGGTCCTCAGCCGACTCCCCTAGGTGAACTCTCAGTGGTTCAACGACCCGGTTATAGCCCTGACTGTTGGCTTTGGTGGGAAAACACCGCCGCCACGGAAAGGTAGTGAGTAGGGCTTTCCCAACAGAGGCTGTTTGAGACACTTGGCCGTGTGCTAGTATTTCGTGAGATGCAAGCGAAGGGTGACTCGCCACAACCTGAGACACCCACCCTAGACCATGCTGAGGCTTTCTACACGAAATACAAGAAACTGTACGGATCCAAGTGAAGTTTTACTAATGACGACATTTAAAACGTACACTGTCAAAACAAAAGACAAAAACAAATTAAACTTAACGAAGTATTTTAGCTTATGAAGCACGCCGTCCTTGGCGTTTGATTGGATATGGTTCAAACGTGAGAAGGCAAATAATGAATCCGACACTGATCCCAACCCATATCGGAATTCCTATCCGATGACACCACCGGTTCGGTATCAACCATAGGGATGAGTGAATAACCAAATCAAGCCAGGGCGGAAATAACATTACCCTGGGGGCAATAGACTATCAACAATGACAGGTATTATAAAACAGTTTGGACGAGAGAACAACCCACCCAGGTTGTAAGACAAATAACAACCATCAGGATCGCGTATTGTGATACAAGTAACGAAAACTGTACAACCACACGATGCCTTGTGCAATCCTCATAGCGCTATGACTAATTAGATAAACGCCAACCTGAAACAGGCAAGAAGTCAGTACTGCACTAACCACAAACAATTGGAAGATTACAAGAAAAGAGGATATTGATTACCGTTTTACACTGTACACACTGATGGTTTGCGTCTGTATGTCAATGGAGGAGAGGTGCACAGGTAAGCGTTTACAGTCTGCATACCACTGGATTTGATTTGGGGCAAAATCTATCACTATCAATTAGGCCCCAGCCAGCCAGGTAGGCGGGAAGGAATGACTGGCAAATGATACCGCCAACTTCTTCGTGCACACATCAAATAACAGAGAGACTGCCACGATGTCTTTCAGCCATGCTTGGGATTCGCGAACAGTGAAATGCATGTGAGACGGTGAAGACGCAAACGTAATACATGAACAATTGCTGGAGGTGGTGTGGTATAACCGCTTCAGCTAAACAAGGACTACCTACACATATCGTCGAACCTCGTCATTGCCAACATGGTGGTGAAACAAAAAGTAAGCGATTGTAGAAACACTTTCATATTAGTATTGATGCAGCTATTCGTATTTCCACAGAGCAAAGCGAGTATCAAGCACAGCTATTTCACTAGTCAGGAGGATCAGCCCAATTCGCACGGCGGCATATAGAACCCCATGACAGCGTAACATTCGGTAGCATTTTTTCAGCGGAAATAAACAAATATCGTACCATGTCAACTTGATGCCCCAGCATTTGGATCTTAGAACAATCTTCATTGTTGAGTTAACCATAATGGCTAATGACGGAACTATCTGCACCCTTGGGGTTGCATGTAATCATCCCAAACCAGGCACGTAGGAACCAATCGATTTTCACACAAACTAAAGAATTCCCATTTGAAACTAAAGAAACTTGTAAGGTGGGAAAAGAACACAAGTGAGCAAAAGACTGGGTGCAGTAAATCACGCACGGGTGGAAACAGTTTTGTAAAATCGGACTAACCACAGCATGATGAAAGAGAACTTTTGAATGAAATTTTAATGTCAAAATACTAATTTGGAGAGAAGGGTATTCCTTACGAGTAGTGCGCTGCTATGGTTAGAGGAGGACTGTTTGATAAAGCCAATGGAGTCAGAGAAGGACCCAAGCAAATCCATGTGTGTGCGCGCGCGCACATACACACACACGAGATAGGTGCCAGTGTGTGCACTGGTTGTGCAACACAGGTTGGCTGGGTCAGATGAGTATTCAGAACACAGTCCTTGGTCGATATGTCTATCCCCATATGCTAGTCGGTCAATATCGGATTGAACAGAATAACATTCCAATTTCGGTTGGCAGTCAGAGCACATGCGAATCTACGAGCGCCATCGACAGTACGATCGAGAAAAGGGACTAGGCGCAAAACACCCTAATCACCGAAACTATCCTAGCTACCGAAAGAAAGACAAGAAGTGTTGGTAGCCTGTTATGATTTCCAGAACACGTGATGACTGCATAACTCGGTGCCCCCGATGGAATATAAAAACGATAAAACGTGTGCATCGACATCAGGGACAATGGTGCAAGGACTGCCAATGACCTGTTCGGTTCATTAAACGGAACACAGCACAGTTTAAGCTTTTTCGGTCAATCGGGTTACACGATAAACACAGTCCGATCACAGTCGGAACATGGAGACTAGAACAGAGTGGTGTCCCCAGCCATAGCTAACTTGGCAAACAATAGCCGTTCCCACACCAGATCAACGAAAAATAATCATTTACTGGAATTGGAGTAAAACTTCGCCAGTTAAACTGGCTTCCCTGTCCATTGTGGTTTTGAAAGAGTGCTTTTCGTTGTATCACAACTTGCCTTTGGGAAAATAAAACAATTTAATTCGATCACCCTTAGTGTTACCGTAGTAGGAATGCTTTGTCTACAAACGTGCGAGGCAAGAGGCACAGTTTATCACGGTAGTGGCCCGGTGGTAACGTTACCAATTATCACCCCGGAGAACGAGTGTTCGAATCCCACCACCACCGCCTGACTCCCCATTTGTGTGTGTTGTATGGCAGCCCTTTGATTGGCCGCTTCCCCCTTCCTGAAGATTGTATCTTTGTCTATATTCAATAAAAAAGAGAGTAAAATGAAAAAGGAAAAGAAAGGATACCTAATCACGCACAAGGTCCAATCGGGCTCCAAAACCAAAGGAATTGTGCGGGAATCTTCATCGTACACTTGGGTTTTTCTCTACATAAAACCTGGTGTGCATAGTCACCACAGTTACACAGAATCGTTGTTCGATTCTGGGGATCGACAAAACACGTTCAGGAAACGGGCGTGGTAAAATATGCATACATATGACAACGGCAGTAGTGTCGTGAGCCGGACGAAAAAAATTGAGGAGGTTCAAAGCCAGGATGCTGTGAGGGTGAGCGTCATGGAATCGGTTCGATTTCACCTAGTGCTCCTATATTCCATAACAAACCTAAGACAACCCATTTGACTGAGGTCAAGGACGTGACATTGACCACGGAGGAAATACGGAATATCGAAAAGACCGGGCACTCAATACACAACGGGTTATACTACTTGCACTTTATAATTCATGACCTGGTGGTGAGTGCATCGCACACGGTAACGAAATACACTGATCTCTGCCAACTGATGTAACCAGTTCTGGTTTACTAAATCGGTTATATCTTGCAAACTGAAAAAGATTTCAGCATAAATCAAAAAAACGGGATACGGTCAAAAGAATTGTTTAACTTCCACACCTCAAACGACAGAATAACAGAGAAACATAGCGCATGCCCGTCTGGACTGAGGCGAATTCGTTGAGTTCAGTGAGTTTCATTTTACTGCAGTGTGGCGTATATGACCAAAACCAGCCACCACTCCGACCGAGATAGGTTGATCGCCAGAGCAAATCAAATTGCGGCCGAAAAACCTGTGCCACCGTAGACCTACGACTGCAATGTTGCTTAAACTAAAAGGAGCCATGGACTCGTTTGACCGCGAAGCCCTTGTGGGTTCGCCTCTTCCAAAATGATTCCAGTAGATGCATGTAAACCGCTGGAGCTCTTTATATTGCGATAGTTTATGCAGCTTGATGGCCTATGACGGGCTAAGCAGATCGTTCGAAACCCCAGTAATGGTGTTCGTCAAGGGTGCCCTATTTCGTCATTACTCATCCATTTGGTTGAAGACGAAATACTGAAAAACACACCCAGTGTACAATAAAATGCTACTACTGATTCACTAGTTAGAGAAAATCCGTGCGAGAGTACTGACGATATCGTTTATCTGTTTGAAAGTATGGAGGATGCGCAAAGCACACTTGACAGACTAGGGAGTTCTGTTGCAAAGTGATGCCAAAAGATTGAGTGTTAGCTTAATTGAAACCTGATGGGCAGGAATTGGTAGCATCTTCTATTTACGCAGTTGCGTGACAAATGATTATATATATATATATATTATTTACACAAATCTGACTCCAGGTTGTGTGCTAAACAAATCACGGTACGACAATCTTTATAAAAAAGGAAAACGTTCCATGATCTGCATGTGGGCTGAATACTGCCAGGTTGCTCAGGCAGGTGAATTTTCCTGAGGAATCCTCAATCGGAGCATTCGGCAGGCGAAAGTCTGACCCACAAGTCAGCGGGGCGGTGTGCGGAAACCGCGTTNACCAGGGTCCAGTTCATCGGATCATACGCCCTTTGGACGAGGTCAAACGTCTGAGGTGCCCAATCGAACCGGTAACCACTGCCACAACCGGGAAGATGTGGTTCGTACGCCTCCACTTGGTGGGTTTGGAATCAGAGTTATTGGCCAACTAGGTGAACCACCAGTGGTCCACCAACCCGGTTATAACCTCGGATATCGGCTTTTGGTCCTCACTGCGAAAACACCACCGCCATGAGCAGGCAGCGAGTAGGGCTTCCTCAGCAGAGGCTATTTGAGACGCTTGATCGTATGGGAGCATGATTCGATGAACTGGACCCTGGTCCCCAATGGAACGCGGTTTTCGCNGTCAGACTTTCGCCTGCCGAATGCTCCGATTGAGGATTCCTCAGGAAAATTCACCTGCCTGAGCAACCTGGCAGTATTCAGCCCACATGCAGATCATGGAACGTTTTCCTTTTTTATAAAGATTGTCGTACCGTAATTTTTTTAGCACATAGTCAAACGTGTAGAAAAGATAGAAATAACCAAAGCTATCTAGTCATCATTTGCTCTATCTCATTATTGTGCAAAATACGCAGCAGCCCTGACCACCTTAACCAATCTCATTAACTTTGTGAGCTTGGCAGCGATCAGTGAGGGCCACTTCAGCGTATTCTGCTATACGGTGATGATTAGTAGTGAACAGCAAAAAAGGACTTCATTTACCTAACAATTTCCTATTTATGTGTCAACAACAACCTTGCACTGGCCAAAGAACATGTCATCACGTGAAGACAACTTCTATCTCGTTGTTTTCATAAGAGCCGGGCGAAGGTTCAAGTGTTACGATTTCTTTAAAAAGGAAACTGAAACAAACGCATCGATGCATAGCACTTCTGGCTTCCAGCTGTGCAACTCTAACTGTGAAAAATTCAATTACATTTTCAATACGTCAAACCTACTAGTTGTCCCATACGCACCACGGTTCGTTCGTGTAATGAAGTAGAGTGAGGTCAGAGGAATAGAATAGTGACACGGCCCTGCTGAGACAGATATCGAGGAGGAAAGCAGCGGGCTACAATATGAACCTACTTCAGTGGAACCATTCGGAGCAGAACACATCGCGAAAAAAGTGGAAGCCTTGTGTGAATGCCAAATTATGAGGGATATGAGAATTTGTAGGACC